CTCCAGTAACCCTGGCTGTGGGCTCAAGCTAAGTGCCTTTGCAGCCGTGTCCTTGGTCCTGTCAGGTGAGTGGCCACGGAATGGCAGAGGGTGCTTCCTCTTGGGACTCCTTTAAGTATTTTCTTTTGTTGTTTTGCTCATTCTGTGAGACAGGGGCCCCCAGGCCTTCCTAGGTAGGCTAGATTAGACAGACTATATATAACTCACACATGGCTGGCTGGCATGGAGCTTCTGAGGGGCGGGATTAGAGGTGTTACAGCATCATGACCTGGCTCACAGGGGTCCCTTTGAAGTACCACCTTCAAGGCTAGGATCTTTGTCCTTGAAAGGAACCTGGGGGCGGGGGAGGGGTAGGAGCTAGGGAGGCTCAGTGTGTAAGACCTTTTGCTGATCTCCAGCACCCACATAAAAAGCCATGTTATAGCCACATGTACCTAGAACCCCAGCTCTGAGCATGGGAGTTTCAGACAGGAGTATCGCTAAGGCTGGCCTGACCAGCTAGCCCAGGCAAAAAGTAGGAGGCTCTACATTCAGCAAGAGACCACGTCTCAGGGAATAAGATGGAAAACAGTAGAGGAAAATCTGCAGACTCCTGTGAACATGCACAGGTACTTGCACTCTGCATGCATGCAACCACACACAGAGGCACACACACAGAGGCAGGCAGCAGGGGATACTGTGCAGGCATTTCGCTTTAAATTGAAGCAATGTGTAAACCTGTACTTTCTGTTTTGTGCGTGCTTTTATTTCTAGGTTCCTTTATTTGTCAGCTTTCTCAACATGTGAAACCTTTGGCTGGGTTTAGTTTTCAACTGGAATATATAGCTTTTCCACACTGTCAGTGTTGGACAACGTTTCAAGTAAAATAAAATTTACAAGCCCGCACATACTCTCATGGTGAAGACTAAAGGGTAGGAAGAAGTCAAAATGAGCAATAGGCATGAGAGACTGACTGGGATTTTGCCACAGATGGGGTAATCATTGTTAATCATACAAGGAGACACATCTAGCATAGATCAGTCTCCTCGGAAACGTGATGGTAGTCATGGCTGCCCTGACACAGACTGACTCTGATGCCAACAGAGAGATGGCTCACAAGGCTCTGCTCTCTCCCTCTCTCTCCCACAGGCCTTCTGGGGATGGTGGCTCACATGCTGTTTTCACAAGTGTTCCAGGCAACTACCAACTTAGGCCCGGAGGACTGGAGACCACATTCTTGGAATTACGGCTGGGCTTTCTAGTAAGTCATCCTTATTCCCTGAGCCTTCACAGCCCAACTCCAGCCATCCTGCACAGGAGTTTCTGCACTCAGCAGGATGTACCACCCTATGTCCTCTTCTTCCTCCAGTCAAATGTAGGGCTGGATGGGGGGAAGTATCTACACCCCCTCCCCTGTCTTCAGAGAGTACACAGAACATCTTTCTCTCTTGCTTTGAGGATGCTGCCTGGCCCAGCAGCATCTGCTCAGCCACTATAGTATTTTCTTCTTTGTCTGACACTGTCCTTGAGCAGCAAGGCTGATTTTATGTGGCTACAGGAACGATGCTACACATTCTATATTTTATGGTTCAGGGTATCAGAAAAAGATAATAGTTATTATTTTAAATTTTGGATTAAGTTTTATATATGCTCCATTGATGATCCTTCACTCAAAACTCTTGCATCCCTTCTATGCTCCCTCATTCCAAGAGTTTCAATTTCTACTGAACCTGCTTGAAATAACACTGCACAGCGTCAGCTGTCACCACCTCAACACATACAACAGGATGGTTTAAAGTTATAGGCACAGTAAAAGCCTCAACCAACGCCAACCCCAGTTTCCTGGCACACCACCATTTGCCTTCTACATTCTAACTTTAAAAACAAAGAACTTGATCCTTTTACGTTTCCTTTGAGGTGCTGTCTCTCATGTAGCCCGAGCTTCAGCCAAGGCTGGCCTTGAACTCCTGCCTCCTCTGCTTCCCAAGTTCTGGGATTACAGTTTTGTAGCAACTTCAACACATTCAAGCTGAGTATCACCTTTATTTGGAGCCCCTCCTGCCTTCAGGAGCGCTTCCTTACTCTTCCTGAATAAACCTGCATTAGTGCTGCTTAAAAAAGAATTAACTTTCTTCCTGGAGGAATATAGGAGCATTCCCTACTCACCACAAAGCTAACACCTGGATTCACATGAACGGGTTCAGAGAAGTTCTGAGGGCATTAGTGGGGGCTTTTCCACACCTGATCCTATCCATTTCCTCACACTGCAGTACATGCTCTGAAACTGAGGACTCCAGCCACCAGCCCCATGGGCAGCTTTGCTAGTTTCCCAGTTAGCCTTCACTTTTTGCCCATTTTCAATCTTTCTTGGCATTGGAATGGTAGGGCTGGGTTGGTGAGATGGCTCAGGGGGTGAAGCAACTGCCATGGAAGGGTAAGGACCTGAGTTCAAACCCCTAAGAGTCATGTTGAAGTCAGACATAGTAGCCCATGCCTATAATCTTCGCACAATGAGGAAGATGGTAGGCAGAGAGACAGGAGAATTCCTGGAAGCCCATAGGCCAGTTAGCTTGTGTGCTCAGTGGGACACAACAAAAGGGATGCTGCCTCAAACGAGATAAGGACTGATCCAGAAGGCTGTACAAACACACACACACACAGACAACTTTGGGGCTCAGGCTACAAGTCCCACCGGAAAGATCAAATTTATTCTACTCCTGTCTGGGGCAACAAACAGGAACCTGTAGGACTGCCCTGGGCCTGGCTTTCAGCAGCCTTTGGCCTCCACGCAGCCCTCCTAACCTCATAAAACCTTCCGTTTTCCTGGGCTTCCCATAAGGGCAGGGAGATTTAGCAGTTTGGTTTCCGAGGCCTTTAGGAATGTGTTTGATGCCTTTCCCTGCGGTGCTTTCTTCTTTCTCCGACCCACCCAGCTTCCAGTAGCATCCAGCTTCCACTATAAACTACCCTGTGCCAAGAACCACAGTTATCCTAAGAATCAAATTCCGCTAGAGCAGAGTGTGATGGCTTCAGAGATGTAGCGAACCACTTTTGTGACTCTCAAAAGGCTCAACCTTGGGGACAGTTAAGTTCAAAGCAATGTCAGGCAGAAGAGGAAGGGTTGCTGCAGCATCAGGGTGAGGGACCTCTTTGGCAAAGTGCATGAAGGGAAAAGAGAAGGGCTGGGGGTTGCGTTAGATCCTGCCCACCACATAGAACAGAGCCAATGGTCTGGGGGTCTGGGAGATCTTACAGGAGTATACCACACAAGAGGCATAAAGTAGCATGGCAGTGACAACTCAGAATTAAATGCACTGGAACGCCGCCTGTTTCCTCTTTGACTGAGGCAGATGTTCTCCGGTCTAGGTCCTTTACAGCAGCTCGGTAGAAGGCTCAAGTTCCTAAGTCCCCCTAAAGACAGCGCCTGGTCTGTGGCAGAACTGATGGCCCTTTTGTTTCCATAAAGTCAGACTTTTTACTATCCCTTCTTTGTGTTTGCCCCTAGCGCGGCCTGCATCTCCTTCACCTGCTGCATGGCATCGGCTGTCACCACCTTCAACACATACACGAGGATGGTGCTGGAGTTCCAGTGCAGGCACAGCAAGAGCTTTAATGCCAACCCCGGCTGCCTGGCACGTCACCACCGCTGTTTCCTTCCCCAGCTGACATGCGCAGTCCACTCAGGGGAACCTTTGACCAGCTGCCATCAGTACCCTAACCGTCCCATCCGCTCCGTCTCCGAAGGTATCGACCTCTATTCAGTGCTACAAGATAAGGAATTTCAACAAGGGACCAGCCAGGAGCTAAAAGAAGTGGCTGGGTCATCTGTAGAAGAGCAGTTTTAGGAGTTAAGTGGGTTTGGGGAGCAGGCTAAACCCTACCATACGCATTTGCTTATTATCAACATCTGCTTAAGCAAAGACGTCTCTTGAGCCTTGTTTTTAGAAGCTAAGCATAATCGAGCCTTCAGTCGTCTCCAGAAGCAGAAGGATGGCTCTGCCTCCTTTCCCGTAACACTGCTTTAGTCCATCCATCTCCCATCTCGTATATCCAGAACTCCCTTTTCTTCACTGATTGCGTTAGGCAAGTTCTAGACTATACAATGCAGATGAAAAGGCAAGAGAAATACAGCTCCTACCTTTAAGGGTCTGATAAAGCTGGTCACACGTCTGGAACTTGAGGAAACACAGATAAGCAGATTGATGGTGGCTTATCTAGGATGCACTGGGATTTTGTCTGGTAGTCACACACACGAAGAGGGAAACACTACTGAAGGCACCTTGCATACTTGTGTCTTGAATCCTCGTGTCAGCCAGCAAAGTTTGGTTAAATGGCCTGGTAAGGGAACTGGAAAGAAGGCTCAGTGGTTAAGAGCACTGGCTGCTCTTTCAGAGGACCTGCATTTGCGATTCTGCACCCAGCATGCATAGTGTCACACAGCTGTCTGTAACTCCAGCTCCAGGGGCTCTCCCACCCTCTCCTGGCCGCCACAGGTACTGCACACACACAGTGCACAGACAGAGAGGCAGGCAAACCACCCATACACACAAAATAAATCTCAAAACAGATTTTCAAAAATAGGCTGATTAAATGGCTCAGTGCATGAAGTGCCTCCTGCACAAATGTGACAGACTCCAAAGCTCTCTTCTGGCATCTGCACATACGCCACAGTCTACCCAATAATAATAAAACTTTAAAAATAGAAACATTATTAAATAGGACCCTAAGAGCCGCAGGAAGGTAGTGTGACATATGAATGTTTCTATCACCTATAGGGTCATGCTCATTTGGGAGGCTAGAAATGGTCTCCCAAGTTCCCAGAGCAGGAGACTCATACAGGGGCTTCTCCCATTAATGAGACTGGGTAGATATTCCTCTCTGGATACTCACTTGCTCATTCATCTCAGAAACTGGCCCTTCTGTTTCCTATACAAACGATGCCCACCATCTAGTTCACTTTTCTTCCACAAGGGAAGTAAACCATCTTGTTTAGCAGGAAGAATGAGAAGGGCACACGTGTATATTCCCATACACAGCATTTATTTGTTCTATAACAGTTCACATTTTAAACGGTGCTTTCTGGCAACAGATCCACTGGCTCCTCAACACAGGTAACGTGGACAGCAATTCACATTCCTTGGGGTTATTTGTTATCACACCACATGTTTGAGGGCTGGTGCGGATATTGTGCCAGGCAGATGGGGAGGGCTTGGAAAGGAGAGGAGAGGCAAGAGGCGGGGAGGAGGGGGGCCACCCCCTTGCATTGCAGGAGGCATTACTTCAAGTAGTGGTCAGGTTGGTTTTTTGGGCCACCCCACACTGAGCACTTCCTATCTTGGGTATCTGGTGAGTTGTTGCCTGCAAGGAGGTGGGGGACCTTAGGGAGGCATTTGACAGGGCCAGCACTCACATTGGCCAGATGAAGCTGTCTCAACCCTTAGCTACCATTCTGTACCAGCTGTAACAGGAAGTAAGCCTAGGATTTCCATTGCTTTTAGCAAGGAAGTGATTCACTCTTCTAATAAGGACAAATTAGGGTGTTATTTATCAAAACACCAAAGAGAATCAGTGACACTATTTAGCTTTCTCTCATCGAAGACTCAACCGGCATAAACAGCTTCCAGCCCAAGCAACACCACCCAAACAGGGCTCCATTAAGCATCTTTGGATCTTATCCTTCCCACACTGGCTGTCTTCTCCAAGAAGAACATCAGCACTGCAGAGAACACACTACATCTACAGGGGCTGGACCAGGCTATAGGTCTACCACCCATTTGACAAGTTGGTCCACTATAAATTGGTCCTAAGAAGTCTTTAATCCAAACTAGACTCCTAAGCCTTTTATTAGCAAAAATTCAACTTACTAGAAATGAACCTAGAATCATCTTCAGACTCTAAGGTATCCTACTCATTGCTTACCCTTCCAAAGTCAACCTGGTCCCATACAACTTCCAAAAATGCTTTTTGCATCTTATGGCAGAGGTGCCAACAAGGCTGGTGTGGCCAATCTGTAGGATGTACTGAGTACTAACTTCTGTTCCCCATAACACCTACTGTCAGCAATTCATAGCCCCTTCAATCTAGAAGCTAGTTTTCTGGGATCTCTTTACTTATACAAGCTAAAAAGGTACAAGTCCAACTGAGGAGGGAATCTGGTTTTCACTCAAGAAGATATGTATTTTCATTGGCCACCAGAACACATGGCATATCAGACAACGACACAGACATTTGGAAGGTTCAAAGAGGTCACATATTTACATAGAAGGGGGAAGAAAAGGATGGGGATAATTCTAAAGAACTTGATCATTATAAAAAGTTACAGTATTTACACCAGAATGTAATGCTTCGAAGAACACAGGGAAGAGTGGTTGCATACTGGACCCAAGAAGCAAAAGTCCAGAAACAGATCCCTGAATAGAAGAGGAAGCGGGGGAAGAGAGGAAGAGAAGATGCAGATGCCCCAGAGAAGACTCAGAGCAAGAGAGTGGAGCTGCAGCAGGACAAGGCCATGGGACTAACCCTTAAGCTGAGGACAACATGCATGCAAACCCTTCTGCCGTTACTGTAGAATCCAAGATCATAGCTTCAGAGCCTTCAAAAGCTCATAGGGCATGACATAAGGACCTGGTCAGAGGAGCCATGGAAACTCTTTCCCTTGCTCTCTTTGTGATAGAAACACATTTGTTCTCATGACCACTTAACACCGGTGGAGAGTTGAGACAGAAAGATGAAGAGACTGGATAACTAGCCCCATCTTAACTTCCAGTGTTTCTCACTGCTGTCTAGAGTTGAGAAGGAACCCACAGTACAGGCGGAGGGAATACAGGACAGTGCTGTGTGACCCTCAGGGTCAGAGGCAGGCCATCCATACACTTCAAGATGGCTGAACCAGATGAAGTTCACAAGGACAAGAAATGGAATCCCTGAAGCTTGGGGCATATCACACAAAAAAAATTGTTACGACACTAGAGACACACAAAGACACAGACACACACGTGCACATACACACACACACAAACATGGGGCCTAATGCAAAACAACATATATCCTGCTTTGTAGGCCACTGGATTTCCCAGCAAGGGTTTATAAATTAGAGGTACAAAAAAATAATAACAGCTATAAGATTCACATTTCCAAACTATCCACACAGAGTTCCCAGGAGAAGGGGGTTAGTGCAGGGATGGGAAGGTCGTGAGATAGCCCAGCCAAGCAGATCGGGCTGCACCACACAGCTCCAACACAATGCCCACGTGCTCTCCCAAGTGTTGCATGACCCTCGGGTCATCTTCTCTCCAGAGAACTGACACAGCAGTTAAGAGCCACTCCATACGGTCCTTCTGAGTCTGAAGACTCCATCGCACTAGATCTGTGGGGAAATGACCATTATTGTCCTCTTTAAGTGCAATTTCCAAAGAAATGAAAACTCTAAAGGTCAGCTGTTTCATTTCCCAGCCCTGTAGGTTACCTCCAACAGTTTGTGAGCCCCAGGGACTGTGCCCTTCTAGTGATAAGCTCTTCAACCTTGAACTTTGCCTATAGCTGCATGGATGTTAACATCCTTGGTCCCTACCTAGAGAATGCCAGAAAGATCTAGCCCCCTCCAGTAATTAGGATGGTTAAAAAACCCATGATCCCACATCTTAAATGCTTGACAACCCACACAGAAGAAAACTGCAGCTGTCCACTGATCACTAAACATGTCGGGACATGTGTGGGCTTCCAGAATAGATGTAATACAAAAATTTATTTAAAAAGTAATTAGCCACACTGGGCATGGTAGCACATGCCCGTAATCCCAGAACTCAGGGATGCAAAGGCAGGCAGATCTCTGTGAGTTTCAGACCAGACTCTGGTCTACAAAGCGAGCCCAGGACAGCCAAGGCTGTCTTAAAAAAAAAAAAAAAAACAAAAAAAACAGAAAGTAATGATATGTCAGAAGCCAGTCACCTGGTAGGGAGAATCAACAAACTTTATCCTAGAGAGGAATCTTCGAAGCTCCCCACGGCCAATTTTAGGAGTGGTCTCCGTCAGCTGGACCATCTGGCCTTCCATGAGTGCCCAGCGCAGGCTAAGCTTGCTGACCACCAGGGAGGTGGGGTGTCCTTCAGGGCTCATCCCTGTTGTCCTGGTGACATAAAAGGCGTCCTTCCAGATGTCATTGATTCCAACTGAGGAAGGACAACAACAAGAAACAGTTAGCAACAGAGTGGCCCTGGACAGCAGTGAAGTATCGCCACCTGGATTCAAATTACAGGCATGAGGCCTGCAGCTGACTTCCTGCCTTGTCTTTAAAACAGGAATTAACTGCTGAAAGGATCATGAGATCCTTGTTTCTTTTTACACCTGCAAAGCTTTATTCACCGTCGGGCTCACTGGCACCTTCCTTTAATATGCTGTCACTACACGCCTCAGATTCAGCCAGCTTGCTTCTAATCTCTTGCTGTCAGCTCACCCTGCCTCCTCTTGTCCTCTGTTGCCACTCTTCTCTCCTCCTCTGCCCTGGAGGTGACTGTGGTGCTTGACTCTATAGGCCGTGTAGATGACCAGGACACGGTTAATAAGCAGCCTTGATCTGGCTCTGTAGCCGAGGATGAGCTTTTGATTATGCTACCTCTATCTCCCCAGTGCTGGGATCAAACCCCCAGCCTCTTCCTTGCTAGGCAAGCACTCTGCCAACTGCACTACTTCCTCAGCCGAAGATTCTTATGTACCATTAGTTAAATGGTCCCTGGACAGTGTTTTATACAAATGTTGCAAGCCAGCTCATTTATATCTCTCACATGATTTTGCAAGCTGGCACCCACCCACTCCCCAGCCAGTTGACAGCTTGCAAATTCCAGATCGGCTTTCCTCTCCCATGATGCCCAGGATACAGAGAGCTACAGCACTGTTCAGCATAAGGCAAAGTGCTGTAAGGAACAAGTCCACAAGAGGCAAGAGAGTGTGGAGAGGCATAAAACGGCTTAGTATAACGGTACACACTACAATCAAGCACTTGGGAGGTAAAGGCAGGAGGGTCAGGGGTTCAAGGCCATCTGCAGCTATATTTGAGGTCAACCAGGGCTATATCAGACCTGTCTAACTATCCCCTCCCCAGCTGAAAAAGAAAAAGACACAAAGGAGAGATGGCTAGACTGGTGCCCTTGCCCACCCACTAACAGGAGCCCAGCCTGGACTAGCAGATGGTAGAGGCTCAGTTCCATGGCTTCGGGCTCCTGAATGAAGCATCTCTAGTATGTGCTCTCAAGCTTATTTTATAGTACTACTTAGACAGGTGCACAACAAAGATGAGTAGCTCCAAATGTTCTGAGCGGTCGGGTTATGGGTAATATTTCTCCTTGTTTAGTTTTTCTGTCAAGTCCAATTTCTATGCAATGTGCTTAGTATTCACAGAAGTAATAGACAAATCAATGTCCTGAAAGAAACAGCTCTCTTTCCATCACACCACACACAGTTAGCTTCCAGTCCTGGCATGTGGCACACAGTTGAGGCTCCATCATCAGCCCTGGGGTCCTCCTGGAATGGGGGTACACTTTCCCCTCAGCACATTCAGAGAATATGCATTCTCACGCTAGAAGCCTGGCTCTATAACTCCAAGGAAGCTCTCCAGCAATGCCCTGGTTCCAGGGACATCTAGGGAAATGATACCACTACCTCTTGAAAAGCCCTTCCCCCTCCCTTGGTGGACAAAGGTCTCACACAGCCAGGGCACTCTGACATCATAGGGACTCACCCTCTGAAGCTGTCACTATGCCAGTGGTGTTGCTCAGGTCCAGGAGGATAGAGGGGAAGGCTGGGTGCAGGAGGTAAAGGTGGTAAAGGCCCAGAGGCTCGGCTCCTGGGCTCTCATCCTGGCAACAGTCACAGAAAAGGAGAGCACAGGTGACTAAAAGGAGCAGAGCAGACAGTTCCGGTCAGCCCTCTCCGGATCCCATTCACAGGGGCACATGATCTTACAGAACTCAAAGCACAGATTCACCCATCATGCCAAACTATTATCTACAGTCAAAATACATAGGGGAGAAAGAGGAGAAGAAGGAAAGGAAGGAGCAGGGGGGAAGAAAGAGGGAAGGAAAAGGAGGAGGAAGGGGAGAAAGAGGGAAGAAAGAGGGAAGGAGGAGGGTATGAGGGGAAGGAAGAGAGTTGAAGGGGAGGGAGGAAAAGAAGGAAGAGAACACTTGCAAATATATACAAAAGAGGGGGAGGCTGGGAAGGAAAGCAGAGGAGGAGACAGGAGGACGGATGGAGACTCCTATATTCAACCTATGGCAGTGCTGGGATTCTCATTCATTGGTACAGCAAGTAAGGCTGTGTAGAAAAGCTATTTCTGAACAGTAGCCACCTATATTTCCTTTCATCGATATCAAAACCACCTGCAAAGGGTTTGGCTATCACTCCGTGGTAGTGCTTGCCCAGCATGTATAATGCCCTGGGTTTGACACCAAGGTGAAGCATCAGGCTAAATATCAGAAAAACCTACCAGTCCCTCAGAGAAATGGGTTGATTAAATAGAAGAAAATCACCAACTGCAAATTAGAAACTGCTAAGATCTGAGTATTAAGTCTCTGAATTCCAGCAGCAGGAGAAAGACCCACAAGGAGACTTTTATCAACGCGCCTTCTGAGTGGGGTTGGACTGTGGTTAAAGTAGAGAGACTGTTGGCCCTGCCTTCATGGGCTCAGTATGAGAAACAGCCTGCTTGAGAGGAGAAGCGGGGCATCCTTACTCCCTTCATGAGGAAGAGGAAGCCATCTCCACATGTCCACATATGGAGGGACAGACTTTAGGCTCAACTAACATGACAAGAAAATAAACGAACAACACTTTCCTCAAACCTGCAGAAAGAAGCCCAAAAATTCTTAGCATAAAAGTTAAGGATTTTCAATCCAGTTGTCATGATGCACGCCTTTAATCCCAGCACTAGGGAAGCAGAGGCAAGCAGACCTCTGAGTTCAAGGTCAGCATGGTCTACATAGTAAGTTCCATGACAGCCAGGCTATGTAGAGAGACCCCATCTCAAAATCAAGACAAAACAAAAACAAACAAAAAAAACCCCAAAAAGCTACAGTTTTTTACTTTACTTTCTCTAAACTCCAAATTGCACTTATTGGCTCCCTACGCCTGTGCTTTAAGAAACTTCTGATGACATTTTCAATCCACACACACTTCCTTTTGGTTCCATAAAAAGCCACTGCCAATCACATTACTTCCTCCTCCACTCTGCCTAACCAACCGTCTCCACCCCCCTTCTACACAAACAGCTTCTCATCCTCAGCCCATCCAGCCTCTTTCATGACACACTCCCTAGTCAGGCTTGGCAAAATCAATAACTTCCTTCTTTTGTTCACATACCTATTTATTTTGTGCCCGTGTGTGTAGGGCATGTGTCCACGGTGTGCATGTAGAGGTTGGGAGACAACTGGATGGAGTGAGGGGATGACAGGCGACCCCTCTTACCATGGGTCCCAGGGATCAAACTCAGGTTGTCAGCCTTGTAGGCAAGCAGCTTACTGACAAGGGCATCTTACCCTGTCAGCCCTGTCGACAGCCCTCTCCTTCCACACTCACACTGTCTGCTAAGTTTACTGGCTTCAGAGCCTGGCCAACTTCTGCTCACCCAGACCGACCGTAAGGACCTCTTGTCTTCCACAGCAGCATATTGGCCTGTGGCCCTGAACATGGCATCCAGGAGTGTTTTTCTCCTTGGTCCCCTACTGTCGGTAGTCTGGAGTGAAGGGCTATCGCCAGCACTCACTCCTTTGATGGAAAGACAATGGGAAAGACCAGCTTGGGAGCACAAGTCCGTTTCCACTCAACCCCTTAGAAGGTGACTGATCAGAAAAGATGCTGAGAACCACCCCAGAGCTGTAAGCAGCAGCTATGTCTGTGTGACAAACGTGGCACCCCCTACTGGCCCATCCTCCATCTCTGCCTCCAATCCCCCGTCACTCACAGAACTGAGAGATGCAGTAGTCAGTGCTTCTGCCCAGAAGAGGAAGACAGACTTCTGGTCTGAGGTAATAGCAGAAGTGGTTGGTATTTCTTTCATGTGACATGGGATACTGTGACTCCAGACAATGGAGCCAGAACCACCATCTACCACCATCATCTGCACATGAGAAAACAAAGAAGATACAGCCAGTCCTTAGGAGAGTGACAGGACAAGAAAACAAAAGTCAAGACAAACACTCTGATAGTAGATTATTCATGGTCCTCCATATTTGTGAGGCACTGGGCTCCAATACCAACACACAGCAGATGCCAGGTTTGTTACCTAAAGGGCCAGCATTTGCATGTAGCTACATATGTCCTTGTGTGCACATAGACCATTCTCTAGATTACCTACAACATCTATTGTGATCTAGTAAACATCCTATCAATAGTTGTTACTGTGCTGTTTAAGGAATAGTAAAAAAAATAATAATAATAAAAAGTCTGTGAGTGTTCAGTATGAACAATTCTTTCGGCTATTTTCATTCAGCCCACAGTTGGTTAGCTTTGATTGTCAACAGAAGAAATCTATGCCAATTATTTTTTATATTAAAACTCTATAATTCTGCCTGTACCACTAAATGAATAAAAACTGTCTATCAAAGCATTTTATCCCCACAACACACAGCCTTACAGGAAAACAGAATGTGGAGCCCCTGGCTCAGCATCCCTCCATGCTGTGGCCCCTCCCTCCGAGCTCTGGTCTTAGTGCTCCTGGCCTGATAGTCCTTGCCACACACACAGAAGTCCAACCTTAAAGGCCCTACCCATACTTTCATCCTTTATCAAAAGCCTCCCATAACACCCTGACAATGGTGAGTCCTGCCCTTGTATTGAAATATGAAGTCCATTGATACCCACCTTTCCCTGCCCAGATTTATAAGATGGTTCCTCCTAGCTAACTGTAGGTAGGTACAGGCTCCAGAAAGAATACAAGATTAGTCTAGAAAAAAAACTAGTGTTGCAGATTTTAGCAATTAGCTATGAGTTTTCAATTTATCCATCCACTAGACTGGAGTTCTCTGAAGAGAGAGACCATGTCTTCGGTTCTTATTCTTCCCAGTGTCCCACCCAGGGCCCGACACAGAGCCCATGCTTTTCATGTGTTCTGACTGATTTGAGCCCCATTTTTACCTTTTTCATCCCAACTCCATCCTGTGTCTGCAGAAGGAAGTCCAATGTCTGGTCATCAGTGAAATAGCCAGGAGTGGGCTGGCTGCAAACAGACGGGGAAGCAATAAACAGTGTATACGAAAAGAAACAGGTGCTCCCTCCCTCCCCTTGCGCCAGCCACTTCGTTTTTAAGACAGGAAAGACTCTCAGAATGGCAGCAATGAAGGGAACTCTGCAAACCTGCGCAGGCCTTGAAGGCTCAGTTTCCAGTGAGGCGTAAGGTCTTGTCCCCGAAGCAGGACCAGGCCTTGTCTGGTTGTGATCAGGAGGCTGCTGCCGTTGGAATCTGGTGCCTTCACCAACTGGAGAAGCTCAACTCCATCACTGCATTGAACAAAAGCCCAACAGTCAGTCTCTGCTGTGTCTGAGAGTTCCACAACCATTTACTTTGATGTTTCATTCCCAGTGTGTGCCTGCCTGCATATACAGTTGTCCCTAGTGTCTATGTGGGAACTGGTTCCAGGACCTACTGCAGACACCAAATTCACGGGCTCACCATCCTTACACTGAGTGATAGTGTCTCCAGACAACCTGCATCCTCCTGTATAATGTAAACCATCTCTAAATTAGTTCTAACTCTGAGTACAATGCAAACAGTTGCAAGGCGACAGCCTCTAGGTGATAATGACAAGAAATACAGTCTGTTTATGTTGGGGCAGACACAGTGTGTTTTTGGTTTTTTGGGTTTTGTTTTATATTTTCAATTAGCAGGGGAGTGAGTCCACAAATGTAGACCCTGATGATGTGGTCCCAAGCGGAGTCTGCCTGGACCCTCTGGGGACAGTAACGGAGCCAAGGAGAATTGCACAGACGACAGACAGAGATGGGAACAGGTATCCTGAAGCTGTCTTCAAGCTTGGACAGCAACTCTTCGCATTTACTTCATCTTTTTCTACACTACTGGAACCATTCCATCAAATTCATTACAATAACATGATAATATTTGAGGGGAAAATGCCAGAAAATGACTTGAAATTTCTGACAGAAAGAAATAAAACAAGTATTATTCAAGCCAAGAGTTGAGTAGGTGAAATACGTAGATCACTGCATATGACAACTATACGCTTTTAGTTACGAAGTACATAAAAAATTAGAAAGAAAAATGATTTCATGCACCCTATTCTTGCTCTGTCAAACTGATTCTTCAACTAGAAGAAAAATATAGGGAAGAGTAGGTCAAAGCCTTCACACAGCTTTACAGCCATTCCTTTAGCTGTTCTAACCTGGACCCATAAGTTAATATCCCTCCTTCTAATCTGTTTCTGAAGTAAGCATTCACCCTGATCACTGATACAAACACAACATTCATAACCAAAAGAAGAGAATTTCTCACTGTGTTAAGCAGATCAGGAGTTGGTATTTCACAGTTAGCTCACTTTGCCCAAACCTCCACCCTTAGTCACTAGTCAACCCAAACTCAGACACCCCGTGATGTATGAGTCTCCAGAAGACCTCTCTGTGGCCAAAGAGATATCAGCCATACCTGTAAACATCAATGAGCTCAGAAAGGTTGACAGATCTGCGCTTCTCCCATTCCGGCTCTTCTATCTGCAGAGAGGGTGGTGAGCTGTCCCGATTCTGAGCCTGAACAAAAATGTCCCGCAGGGCGACAGCTTGTATGTTTCCTAGTGCCACAGGAAGAGTCCACACTGAGAGCTGGATTTAAAAGAACTACCCCAGGCTATCCCAGGTGGGGGTCTGGGCAGGAGACACAGAGCAGATCCCCTGGGTCCAATAGAGCCCTCTCCAGCTGGTCAGACATAGAGTGACAGGGAAGTGACCAAGCCAACAATGGACAGTCTCCTCTCCAGAGAAGGCGTCAAGGGAAAGCAAGAGTTAATGACCTGCAGCAGGTGAGAGGCCCTATAACAGGCTAACAGGTGACTGCGAAGAAGAGCCCACACCAGCAACCTCTGTATGAGTGTTCATCCTGTCTCACAGGAGGCCTAGGCACCTACAGCAGGGGAGCAGAAGCCAAAGCCAGCCTTGCTTCTTACCAAAGCCAAACAGGATGTAGACAGCCCCACTGGCGGTGATGTAAACCTGGGGACCAATCAGATTCCCTACTCCCACGATGTTGTACTTCACAGGTCGGCCCACTGGACTCCCTGTCCTACCAGAGACCAGCAGAAAACACAGATCTGGCTGAAGAAATGAAAGAAAGGAGTATGTTAATAGAGGTCTTTCATTTCCGAAGGCCTCGTGAGATGAGGGCTCACGAACACTTCCTATGGTTGGAAAGCACAAAGCCTAACTGGCTTGCTTATTCCCCCGGACATTAGAAATGGGGCAAATGTGTATGCCCTGATTAGATGTGTAGGAAGAGCATCTTTAAGATTCCTCAGATGATGAAGCACAGTAGTTGCTGACTATATCATCTCCTAAAGACTGCAAGCTAAATATAAAATGCTGATACAAGGAGGGTCTTCACTCAGTAGCCAGAATCACGCAGAGAGATGCAGATTATCAGCTTGATGGGAATTAGAATCACCAGGAAATCACCCTTCTGGGTGTATGTCTGAAGATGTTTCTAGAGAGGTTTAACCAAATAGGGAAGACCATCCCTGGATGTGGGAGGGTTCATCCTCTCAGCTCCGTCCTTGACTGAATAAAAATAAGAAATTCACAGGCTACAGAGATGCTCAATCATGAGGACCAGTGTTCAGATCCCAGGACATAAGTCCAAATCCCTGTACCTCTGGGAGAGCAACTGGTGCTCTTAACTGCTGAGCCATCTCTCCAGCCCCATGAAATAGATTTTGATAAGAAAAAAATAAAAGTGAGCCCAAGCATTCCCCTCCTTCTGCTTCTTCACTGTGAGTGCACTGTGAGGGGCTGTCCCTCACTCCTGCCACCACGCCTTCCCTAGCACTTTAGGAGGCAGAGACAGGCAAATCTATGTGAGTTTGAGGCTACACAGTGAGCTCCTGTCTCGAAATACATGTGTGTGTATATATATACATACATATATATATATATATTAGTTGAGATAACTGCTCATTAATTTTGTCTTTCCTGAGAGGAAAGACCAGGGAGAAGGCTGTGACTTCATCTACGTACAGAGCAGCTGCTCCAGTGTATGAGCTGCGGCTTATAAGAACACTGTGCTAGAATCAAAGTTTATCTTTCTTGAGGGGGAAGAGAGGAATTAAGACATGCATCACTGTGAAACACTAGACAGACTAGAACTAATTGAGTAGACCAGGCTGGCTTCAGACTTGGAGCAATCATCCTGCCTCAGCTCCAAGGGCTGGGATTATAGGCATGAACTACCACATCGACACTGAAAGCCTGTCTCCCTACAGCATCTTCCTTTGGTCATTGATGAGTCAGAGAGGATCCGGGTCTGATTTTTAGACAGGTCTCAGCGTGCAACCCAAGCTGACCTGGAGCTCTGAGTCCTCCTTTGTGCTGGGATTAGATAAGCAGGTGAAGCACGTACTTATGACTGTTGTTGTTGTTATTGTTGTTGTTGTTGTTGAGGCAGGGTCTCACATATGTCAGGCTGATCTCTAGCTCACTATTTAGTCACAGATGACCCTAAACTTCTGATCCTCCTGCCCCTCTCTCCTGAGTGCAGGCATTACCACGACACATGATTTATCCAGCTCAGGGGATCAAACAAGGGCTTCATGCATGCTAAACCATCACTCTACCAACTGAGCTACATCCAGAGCTTACAGCTTATGAGCCTTCTATCAGTCCATCCTGTTGTTTTACAATTGAAGTAAAATTTAAATGGAAACAATATAGTAAAATTAACATTCCACTTACACAGTTGCAAATAGGCAGCTTTCTAGGGATTTACTTTGTTAGCTTTAATTTTCATAAGTCCCCTGCAGAGAGATATAACTTTCTCATTTCAACATGTGAAGAAACTACAGCAAGGATAGAGTACAGTTTGTCCAAGGCCACAAAGCTACAGAGTGGTACAGAAGGAATTTACACATGAGCCATCTGCCTCCAGGGCTCTCTTAAACCACAGTCCTCAGAACCACAACATATCATGGGAAATGAATCTGAAATACTCTTGGTTCACTTAACCTCACCAAGAGGATCTATTTCGGCTTAAGCCATTGCAACAACAGGTTCTAGTCAGCACTTAAAATAAATCCACTAGAGCCTATACCTGCAATTCTCCAATGGCCAGCACCACCAGATCTCTGACTCCGTCTTCATCCAAGTCTGGCAGCACCACAACCGGGGCAGCCAAGGTGCCATTGGACAGATAGTTTGGGTTTAGAGTCCAGATGACTTTCCCTGCGGAAGGAGACAGAGGCAGATCATCAGTTCTGCTTTCTGCCCCAACAAAAGACAGGAGCAACATTCCTGAGCTGGAAAAGAAAACTCTAAGGGCTGAACAGGAAAAGGCAGCTCCTTAGCACTTCTCCCTTTAGTTTTTGTCTGAGGACAAAGGGAGCAGGAAGTGGGACCCAGGATCCTCAAGCATCTGGCTACACTTCCATGTAATAACCTCACATCTGGATTTTAGCTTATTTACTTACAATTTTATTTTGTGTGTGAGAGACTGTTTTGCCTGCACGTATGTCATGTATCATGTGTGCTGATGCCCGGGAAAGTCAGAAGAGAGCATTAGAGCCCCTGGAACTGGAGTTACGGCTGGTCGTAACTGCCCTGTGTTGCTGAGACCTAGAGTCGGGTCCTCTGCAAGAGCAGACAGTGCTCTTAACCATTAGGTCCAGTCCCACACATTTGCATTGTGTAGATCAGATAAAGAGGTCTATGTCTTCCTAACTCTGCTGGGCTGAAGAGTGTGTCTGTCACAGGACCTTGCAGCCACGGAGGAGCCCACACCAGAGAAACTGCGGAAGGTTTTCAAGGACGTCAGTCCTGACCTAAAATAGTAAGTGAATTCTGATGATCTTTTTTAAATATAGGAGCTCATATAACCCAGGCTAGCCTTGAACTAACTTACTATGTAGCCAAGTATGACCTTGAACTGCTGATCCTATTTCTACCTCTTAAATGAGCACGATAATTACAGGCCTGCACCACTATGCCCAGTTTCTCTGGTGCTGGGAATCACTCCAGGGGGGTTGTGCATGCTAAGGAATGACTCTACCATATGGCATATACATAATTTTTTCCCCCATTCAGAGGTACCTCACTAGCCAAATATGGTAACTTAAACCTGTAATCTCAGCAGATGGGAGGCTAAGACAGGAGGATTTCATGAATTCAAGTGTAAAATCATGTCTCAAAAAGGAGGAAGCAAAAACTAAGCATCCCACAGTGGTACCTCTGATGTCGAAAGGGTGCCACTATTTGTTCAACTTCTCTTGAGCTTATGGCCCTATAATCAGCATATTATAAGGAGACATCTTTATCATACTAGACTTATTTTCATCACTTCTGTCCTATGAATCTACGAGGAAAAAGGAGCTAAAAGGCCTTATCAACAGCCTCTACTGGCCTGAGTTCTCTTCCATAACATCCAGCCAGTATCCAGGTTCACGTATGGACCAGCATAACTCAAGGAGACAGAAGCAATACCCCCTTGCCTGTTGAACAAAGAACAGAGCAAAGCCATCCGGAGCAGCTTCTGTTTGGGGAAGAGTTTAATTATCACCAAACAGGTTGCAACAAGAATCTACTTACTCCTTCTGCCCAAGCCCCTATTCTCTTTCCCTTAATAACTACCTTCTGAACCAGGTCGACAAAGCGGTTTCCAGCCTGCCAGAGGACAGACACCCCTTCCCCTTCAAGCTGTTCAAATCCCAAACCGAGGTTTACAGAGGCAACACTCTTTGACCTCAAGGCCATCCTTTACCTGACGTTGCATTGAATGCGCTGAGCAGCTTTCGAGTCCCTGTCACAAGGCAGATGGTTTTGGCCATGCTTCCTGGCATCAGGTCCAAGCATGTGACATCTTGAGCCTCCTCCGGGAGGGGACTGGACCACAGCGTGCTGCCATTCATCCCCGAAAGGCACACAAGATCTGCAGCTGGTTGCGAGCCTCCACCTAAAGGCATGTAAGAGAGGTGACGGGGCAGAAGAGGAGAGAGTCAGCAGGAAGCAAGACACCTGAAAACTCAAAGGGAATGGTGGGGGGGGTGAGGCGGCGGCTCAGCTCCCGCCTGTGTTCCTGACAAGGTGTGAACCCAGAACCTGTCATCTCTCCTACCTTGCACCTCATGTAGGACAGGTGTAGGACCATCCCCTGTGGGCAACTCTGAACCACCTCACCATGTCTCCATTTGGCACCTTTCCTAACACATCTGTTTACCTGTCAGCCACCTTAGCCCATGCTAAACAGAGACATCCTTAAAGACACAGGAATTTCTGACTTCCCAGCACATTATAGGATGCCTGCTACACACAACAGCAGCCAGTTGTTCGCCGAGCAAGAGACAGGGGTGACACCGGCTAAGTGAGCGGGGAAAGCCATCTGCTGCCAAACCCACTGACCTGAGTCCAGTCCCCAGTGCCAGCACCACTCCAGTAGGAGAGAGTCAACTCCTACAAGTTGTCCTGACCTCCACATGTGCACTGTCACACTCACACACACACACACACACACACTCAATAGATGTCATTTTAAAATCAAAAGAAAAAGACAGGAGAAAAGCCCAAAACACTGAGGAGGAGCTGTTGAGGAGAAAGGTGGGAGAGGAATGTGCAGGAACACGGAGGCTGGCCTAGAAACCATGCAGAGCAGAGGAAATCCCAGACTCCAGCAGCAAATACTCCCCGAGCAGAAATAACCTGCAGGTTTCTGAGTAGCGAACAGCAAAGTCTTGCTGTCTGCAGCCCTCTGGTTTGTTCCTAGGCAGGAAAAGAACACATGGGGCAGCAACAGCCATGTCCAAGGGAAGTGAAACCACAGCAGCGTGGGCCAGGATGTGACGTGGTAGTGGTCACAGTTCCTGCCAGCTTGACTTTCACTCTGAGGACTGGACATCTTGACTCACTCATGCTTTCTCCTTTCAGATACCAGAAGTTGCAAAGCTTTAGTCTTCCTGTTCCTCGGAGGTACTAACTAAACAACACAGCCTCAAACAGGAAACTGGGTATGGCTCACTGTGCTAGACCTCCTGCCAGAGATCTGCATTACTTTCTAGACTTTTCCAGACCAATCCTGTGCTAGGCTTCCTGCTTAAGAACCCCAGTGAAGGCTGGGCATAGTGGCACATGCCTTTAATTCCAGCATTCAGGAGGCAGAGGCAGCGGAATCTCTGTGAGTTCTGAGGCCAGCCTGGTCTACAGAGGGAGTTCCAGGACAGCTGTGCAACAGAGAAACTCTGCGTGGGAGTATGGGGCAGCACAGCCCAGGAGAGGGTGAACAGTGCCTGCTGCAGCCAACACATGTTTGATGGATCATGAGCAACTAAACTCTATTCCCTTCTTCCCAGCGGCACAGTAGGTACGTGCATGTGGCATGGGGGTTGAGGATATGAACTTCAGAACCTGATTCTTGGAACTGAACTTCAAGTCTACATTTTACAGTTGTGGGACTCTAAGAAGTTCCTTAACCTCAGTGTGCCTCAGTTTCCTCATCTGGAAGACAGGACAATAATACAAGCCTACTTAGATTCTATTGAAAGGCCAATTCATTCCTGTGTGCTGTGTGTCTGCAACAGCACACAGAAAGCACCTAATTATTGCAGGATAGTGGGTCATACATACTATGAGACCAAGGCAATGTTAGTTACTAGAAAAACCTGTTCCTACTTGTGTGGCTCAGCCCTAACACACACCTTTAACCCAAGAGCTTTCTGCTTGAATAATTGTCAACAGGATTAAATAAAGTCAGCCATAGGTCATGACACAGTGCAAGCAACCAGTTGACAGAAAATAAACATAGGATTATTAAGAAAAAAAAAAAAAAAAAACATAGAGAGTAAGAGGAAGTCAGGAGGATGGATAGAGAGATGCACAGGAAGTAGAAGGAGGGACATTCAGTTTGAGGCGCTTGTAAGAGGAGGAGGCATTGCTTCTGGGAAGGTGGCTGAGGGGGAACGGTCAACGGTGCTTTCTCTGCCTCTCTGAGATAGCAGGCTTTCATCCCAGCATCTGGCTCCCAAGTGTTCACTGGTAAAATCAAATGATTAAAATTTTGTTAAAAACAACACCTAATGGTAGTTATTGTAGTTTTTTTAGTGACAAATGTCCCCAGCAGGCTTAAGTTTCTGAACACTTGGTCCCTGGCTGGTGGCACTATTTGAGGACTATTGGCGGTTGGTCTGATGCTTGTATTTTAATGTTAATAACTGGTCCTCAAGATTTGGTTACTGCCCAGATACATGCATATTTGTTGTATAAACCTGCCTAAGACATTATTCCCGCTTGCTTAATAAAGAAGGCCTGTACCTGGGCAGGACAGAAGGACGTAGGCATGGCTAAGGTTACCAGACCTATCACGGGAAGAGAGGAAACAGGAGGAAGCCACGATGCATTAGCATGGAAAAGGAACCAGGTGGGCCAGGAGGAAGGATTCTGAAAGTGGTGTGGAAAGGATCAATCCAGATAAAGGATAAGCAAGTATTTATAAGATTATGGATGGGAGATAGCCCGGATAAGAATGGTTAAGGCAGATGGCACCGGCCAGGGGTTGAGAGGTTCTTAATGAGGTTATTGAGCTAGTATAGCTGGAATTATCTACCCAGCCCAAGGCAATTATAGGACAACCATAAAATCTAACAGATATCTTGTCTTATTGATTGTGATAGCAGGTAAAATAATACTGTCATGATCATTATAGGACTAATAATAAACATTACATAGCCCAACACCTTTTATTTCCAACAACGGAGGATATCATGGAAACTTTAAGATGTACAGTCTTGCTGGAGGAAGTGTGTCACCAGGGAAGGGGGGGGGCTTCGAGAACTACTGGCAAAATAAACTCTTTTGTAAAGTGCTTTTGTTAATGATATTTGTCACAGAAAAAAAGTAACTAATACAGTTACATTCTTCCTTTTACAACCTCTGGGAAAATCATGTTGGTCTACATAGTGTCCAAAGCCTCAGTCTTGTCAATAGGCATCTTGATATAAAGCAGAGTAGGCAAAATAGCAAATAACTTCAGCATCCCTGACCTTACTTCAAGGTGAATGAGTCACAGCCCAGGAATATGCAATCAAGCTAAGATCATAGGGAAGTCTGCTCCGGACCCGGAAGCTCTCTGCCACAAAGTTACATCCATATATCAAACATGCTTCCATAAGGCTTTTAGTAATGTCAGGCAAATGTACAGTACAGAAATCTCTAAAACACACCTGCACACTCACTCTGGGCCTGGAATGATTAAAACGCACTTGCTAGGATTTCCTCGACCTCTGGGTAGGGTTCTTGCATCAGCTGACATGCTGTAGTCACTGCCAATTTAGTAGACATTGCAGACAAACTAGGATCTTGTGCCGCTATCATGGAAATTAAGCATTTTTGCTACTGGTCGTATCCAACAGAGTCCCAGAAACAGCACACTCAGCTAGTGTAAGCTATGGAGGCCTTAATAAAGAAACTATTGACAAAGTTGTGTCAGGCCATAGGGCTCCAGTAGTGGCAGTTTAGCCCCTCAGAGCTGTTAATGCTCCCAGGGATGAAGGAGAAAGAGGTTGCTGGTATCCAGAAAAGAAAGTCCTCTAAGAGGGCCAGCTTGAGACCTGCTCTGACCAGTGGTTAAGTTCATTGCCACTGTGCTCTAACCCCATCTGTGAGGAAGTGGGGATGTTAGCTCCTCTCCTCAGTCTCCCAGCAGGCTGGGGGTCTGATAAATATCCTCCACAATGTCTAGCTTTCTGAGGAGGACAAACCTGGAAGTTAAACTGAAAGGAAAAAGGAAGGCCAGCAGCCCAAACATCTGTGTGCAAGGGTCTTGAGTAACCCAGGATTGAGGGCAGGGTAGAATCCCCATTCACTATAATCTAGCGGGGGGCGGGGGGAGACGCTGCCTGGGGAGATGGCTCAGTTGGTGAAGTGCTTGCTGCACAGCAAGAAAGCCTGAGTTTGATCCCTAGAACCCACATAAGAAAGCCTGGAGAGAAGTGAGTGCGGTGACGCACGCCTGTGGTCTCAGCAGAGGCAGAAGCAGGTGGATCTCTGTGAGTTCAAGGCCAGCCTGGTGTACAAAGTGAGTCCAAGACAACCAAAGCTACACAGAGAAACCTTGTCTCAAAAAAAAAAGCAAACAAACAAACAAAATAAAAGGCCTTGAGAGGTGACACATTCTTGCCATTACCACAGTGCCATGGGGGGGCACGGCGGCAGCTTCTGAGGATTGCTAGCCAGATCCAGGCCAGTGAGAGACACTGTTTCAAAACGTAATGTGAACAGTTCCTGAGAAACAACATCTGAGGCTGGCTGTGTCTCCCCCACACCAAGCCACACATATCGAATTACCAAGGCTGTCACTACACCACTCAAAGTCCCTCTGGCTGTGACTCACTCTGCTTGCTTCCTTTATTTATTTGTTTGTTTGTTTGTTTGTTTGTTTGTTTGTTTTGGAGGGGAGGGTGGGTTTGGGGGGCACTTTGAGACAGGGTCCCTCTAGCACTGGCTGTCCCAGAATTCAGTATGTAGACCAGGCTGACCTCAAATTCACAGAAAGTACCCTGCCTCCACCTTCCAAGCCCTGGGATTAAGGCGTGAGTGCCCAGCATCACACTGGGCTCCTGATGAGCCATATCACGCATGGCAGACCTGTGTGGTGACCTGTTCCCTGCACGGACCCTCCTGTGCGCCGTCCCTGGAAAGTGACTAACGCTCCCCCACCACGGCCTTCAGGAGGCATAACTCTTACCTCCTTCAGTCCCATTCCTGGTTGTCACAAAGGAGAGAAGCACGTCTCGCAGGCCATCTCTATTCACGTCAGCCAGCTCCAGGGGAGACAGGTCCCCGCCTGGCGTACACATAATGAAACAAAAAGGGCCTGAGCCAGTTACCACAGACTAGTTCTGCCAGGTTAGAAAGAAGACAGATGCAGATGGCACCCAACCCCCACTCCCAGCCCAGGTGAACAAGGCAGCAGAGAGTCCTGGACATTATACATAAAGCAAACAGACTCAGCTTCTGAGAGGGCAGTGAGTTAGCCTGATGGGGGACTGAAAGACCTAAGGAATGGTGATGTATCAAATCACCTGGGGTTTCTGGCCACACTAGACAGGACATAGTGAAATAACTGGCAACTAACTCAGAAATGCCACAGAGCCAAAGAGGCCCTTAGGAACCTGGCTTCCCTGGCCAAAGGCCCAGGAAGGGTGCAGCCTTGCAAGGCAAATTGATTATAGATAATGATGCCCCAACCCTGCCCCAGCAAAGGCTGTGGAACCTGACTTCTGAAACCTTGTCCTTGCCACCACCATGACACCAGACTCAAAGCCAAAAGAGCCATGGGGTCGCCAGGACTACCCTCCCACCGGCAGTGGGGAGGGAAATCTGAGGCTCTACACAGCCAGCCCTGCCCTTCCTCCTCAGCAGGCAGCAGAGGCCTATAGGGAGCAGAGACGAGGGTGGATCCCCTCCTTGTGCCCAAGGAGTCAGAGAGTGCCTGCCAAATCTGTAGGAAACTCAGAGTGGAAGCACAAGTTGGTACAACCGCTTTGGCAGGAAATGTAAGAACCTGTTTAGAAAGAACATGCCCACACCCCCTGTCTGGCAACGTGACTAGGCTTCTACCGTGGAGAAATGCGTACATAACCCTTTGGAAATATATAGAAATATCCTCAGGATCACTTATTTTAAAAAGATTGGAAATCATTTAAATGTTTATCAACAGTAGAATAGATAAATAAATCATATGACATTCGTAACATGGAAAATTAGGCACTGGTAAAAATGAATAGACTCCAGCTACGGTGTATCAGTACAGATTAATCTCAGAAATGTCTCTCTAAAAACGATGTGGATTATAGTGTTTGCCTTGTATGCATGAGGCCTGGCTTCAATCTCCAACACTGAAAAAAAAATTTTTTTTTCCCCAAAAAGGTAAACTCCATGGTACCAAGGGCTGTAACCCAGCACTCTAGAAATAGAAGCAAGGTCAGGAGTTCAAAGCCATGCTCAGCTACAGAATGAGTTCAAATCTAGCCTGTACTACAGGGGGTGTCTCAGGGACAAACATGCACAAAACTTATATTAACAGCCCAGGCATGCTGGCGCATGGCAATAATGCCAGCACTCAGGAGGCTGAGGAAGGAAAAGGCCAAGGCCAGCCTGGGCTTCATAGATATAAGACCCTGTCTCAAAAAAAAAAAAAAAAAAAAAAACATTGTACAAATGTCACAGAAGACTATGGTTCTATTTGTATAAAATTCAAGAAAGGAGACAAAATCAAGGAATATATCAGCAAGGCAAAATGTTAGAGTCAATGATCAGCCCAAACTCAGGATCAGAATCTTTTGGGGACAGACGGGGAGATGATCAGGGGACTCAGAGGCCTCAACAATGTCCTGTTTGCTCAGCTGGGAAACTAAAGCTGCCTTCAGGAAACGCAGAGAGCCAGTGTCTGTCTCATTCCAGACCTTCACCTCCTAAGCAACCCCAGGGCACAGGGGAAAAGACAGCGCAGCACACATTAGTTTTTAAGGTTTGGAGCGAAAGCAGCATAGTGGTGCACACCTGTGGCATGAGCACTCAGGAGGCAAAGGTGGGAGGCTGCCACAAGTTCAGGGACAATGTGGTCCACCAAGTGATTCCTAAGCCAATCAGGGTGATGGTGATGAGACATTGTCTCCAAAAAAAATTCCAACCAGGAATGGCAGTACATGCCCTTAGTCCTAGCACTTGGGAAGAAGAGGCAGGGAGATCTCTGTGAGTTCAAAACCTTTGTCCACACAGAGATCAGGGCAGACAAGGCTACAGTGATACCCTGCCTAATAGACAGATAGACAGACAGATAGACAAATCAGACAATAGCTAAACCAATATATGAAAATTTACAGATTTATGTCTTAAAATCCCGCAACTCACCTCCTTGGGAGCCCAGGTGCCGGCTCCAAGTGCTATGCAGGTCTCTGGGAGGACAGGGGATGAGGAAGGCACACAGGAGTACCAAGACCATTGAGATCACCAGAGTCAGCAGGAAGACAGATGTGCGCACATAGGACACCAGGGAAGAGGTGGCCTTCTGCTCCAGACCCCCGAGGGGTTCTGAGGGGAAACCTTCTGGGGCAGCTTCTGAAAGGTGTGGCTTTGCAGCCCCAGCCACGTCTGCATCTGAGTCCGGCTCCGGCAGGTCTCCCAGGGCGCTCTTCCCGTTTTTGACCCCTCCGTTCTTCTGCTGCAAGTTAAGCACAAGATCATCTTCGCTCTCATCGCTGTCAGCCTGGGTGAGAGGGTCGTACTCCCCGAGGTCTGGGCTCTTCTTCCCTGGAAACACAGGAGGACAGAGTCAGGAAGAGCCTGGAAGGAAAGAGCCTCACCAAACTGTGGTGGCACAGAAGCAAAATCACAACAACCACACAAACAACCCCAAAAACCTAGCTTTACATCACTGAGACCTTGGTTAGACCTTAGTGGTTTTCTGAATAACTTGGGGGCGGGGGTGGGGCAGAGAGAGTCCATTGTTCTAGAATCACTATCTTTTGGGGTTAAGAAAATTGAAAAGGCCAGGGTAAAAGTAGAATACGTCATGTTAATCAAAATAAGGTAGGCCTGAACAGCCCCATGCTGTATGTTCTCCCATGGGGAAGCTAAGACAGTAACCTTGAGAGCAGAGAGCCTGGCAGCGTGGCTTTAATCTCGGTGCTTGTGAAGCTAAACAGAACTGCCATGAGTTTACAGCCTGTGCTACAAAGCAAGGTCCTGCCTCGTGGCTATGATACTATCAGGCACTGTCAGGCCTGATGACGAGAGTTCAGTCCCGGGGCCGCACAGTGAGAGGAAGAAATTCACTTCCACAAGTTGTCATCTGATCTGCACTCCCATATATATGTATATAGGTTTTTTTTAATGTAATAATAATTTTAAAAAATCCTGTCTCCAGAGTGCATCAGAGGAGACTGGGGTACTGCAGGTTAAGGTAAGCTGCTTGCCTAGCATGGACAAAGCCCTGGGTTTGACCCCAGCACCGCATACACCAGGCATGATGACGCATGCCTGTTATCACAACACTTGGGAAATACTGGAAGTATCTGAAACCCAAGGTCATCCTCAGCTTAGACTGAAGTCAGTTTGTTACATATGAGACTCTAGCTTTTTAAAAGGAGGTGGGGCTGAGATACAGGTCAGTGGCCTTGTATACAGACACAGAGCACTGGCCGCTCTTCCAGAGGACCCAGGTTTGAGTCCCAACACCTACAAGGTGGCTCGCAACTGGCTGCAGCTCCAGTTTTAGGAGATCTGTAGCCCACATCTGACCTCTGGGGCACCAGGCTGCATTTGGTACACAGACATACGAATATGCCAAACACCCATACACACAAAATAAATATTTTTTTTAAAGAGAAGCAAAGAATGGACCAGGGCTGAAAGCTGCAGTTGGATAGGAAAATAACTTTTAACATTCTGTAGCATAATCTAAAACTATGGTTGTCCCTGTGAGTCCCAGGGACTGAACTCCGGTCACCTGTGTTGGTGGCAAGCGCTCTTACCTGCAGGGGCATCTTTCCAGCCCAAATATCTGTACCACTTATAAGCTTCTGAATTTGATTGACTGTCACTAACAAAGATGGCCATGGCTCTTTGATTTTTTTTTTTATTCATTTGCTCATGTGTGTATGCATGTATTCATTTATAAATTCGAGGCGGGGACTTACTATGTAGCCCAGGCTGTCCTTGAACCTGTGGTGACTATCCTACCTCAGCCTTCCCGGTGCTGGGACTCCATGTGTGTGCACCATCACAGCCAGCTTGAGGCAGAGGCTCGTGAGAAAACTTTCCTTAGACCTAGGCTGTTCCTGCTTTAGATTTTTCTCAGAGCCATAGGCAGCTGTTCCTGGTAAACTTCTAGAACAATTCTCTTCTGTATACTGTCTCTCACAGGGTGTCTATGGTTTCCCAGATGCTTCCATGGAAACAAGTTAACAAGTTGGAGACTACATGCCAGCTAAAGATGTTTGACGAAGCCTCACTTCTTAGAACTGTCCTGTGATTTGAATATCCTTTAAGACCGTCTTTCGGTAAAGGTGTAAAAACTGCTATTCTGCGCATGCATCCTGGGATGCACAGCAGTTCCCACGAACAAGGAGGTGGCAGATGACATGGTAAGGTCATAACCATCTTAACTCCAGCCCCTACCATACCATACCATACCATACCATACCATACCATACCATACCATACCATACCATACCATACCATACTCTGCTACACTCTCCTGGCCTCCATGGGTATTGCATGTATGTGCTGAACATACACAGATAGAGGCAAAACACTCGTGTACATAAAAGAAAGTTTTTAAAAATAAAAAAGGGGCTAGAGAGATGACTCATCAGTTAAGAGCACTGGCTGTGCTTCTAGAGGATCACAGTGCAACTCTCAGCAACTACATGGTGAATCACAACTGTCTGTAATTCCAGTTCTAGAGGATCCAGTGCTCTCTTCTGGCCTCTGAGGGAACCAGGCACACATGTGGTTTACAGACATACATAGAAACCCAACAACTATACACATAAGACACCTAAATATATTATTATTATTACTGGTTTGTTTTTTTTTTTTTTCAAGACAAGGTTTCTCTGTATAGCCCTAGCTGTCCTAGAACTTGTAGACCAAACTAGCCTCAAACTCAGAGATCCACCTACCTCTGCCTATCAACTGCTGGGAGTAAAGTTTTGGTAATTAAAAAAAAAAAAAAAAATTCCTGACAACCAAGAGAACATACCAAATCTTGAAATCTCAGGGTTCATATAATCCCTGTTCCAAACTGTGTCTCCTCTCAAACATCCAGCAGTCAGTTGGCACCCAGCTGAACGTGACCAGTGTCAGGGATCCAAGGCAGGAGGATCAGGAGCTCCAGGCCAGCCTTAGCTACATAGTGAGTTTACACCAGCCTGGGCTGCAAGGGGTATTTTCTTCCCAAAAGAAAATGATTCAACTGTTCCCAACATAAAGACCAGTTTGCCTCTCTACCAGCTATGTATGTCTTTCCTTTTCTAAACTCTATAGGCCTCAGTTTCTCTATTTATAAAATATAATTATCATTCATATCTTATGACTGTTAAAAGAATTAAAACATACAAATGGCCCTTGCTGTCTGAATTATGATCATACCCAAACAATTTTGGCTTCCATTATTATTGTCTAAATCTGTCAACAGCCTTGGCTAGCCTTCTCTTCTCCAGGTTAAACTCTGCCATCTCCTTCACTCCATGACTTGAAGGGTGACCCTTCTCTGCATACAATGTGGCATGCCCATACTTTTTAAAGGAGGGTTTCTGGAATTGAACGAAATGCAAGGGTGTGGTCTGACCACAAACAGGACAGGACAGCCATTGCACTCCAGATAATTTATTGTTTCAGTAAACGTTGGTAGCTTTCTTGGCATTCTCACACACCAACCCTTCTAAAAGTTCCAAGGATTCCGAACCGACCTCTAACCGTCCTATTACCTTACCGTTGGATTTCGAGCGCCGAGTGAAAAATTTAGCAGTAGTATCTACCTCAGTCAACCCTGTCAGCCTCTGCCTCCCACGGTTCCCAAAGAGGTGTAGCTGCCAAACTGTAACCACTGGCAAAACCCAGCTAACAGAACAACTGAAGGGCAATCACTTTTGCCACGACTTATGCTATGACAGGAAGGAAGAGGCTTGGCGCCACATGCTGTAGAAATGCAGACAATTTTAGTGATTCCATAAAAAATAATTAGTAGATGTTCCTTTATAGGAATACAGACTTCTAATTAATAATGCCATAGAAGGCATTTCTGTCATAGTCCATTCCCTAAAACCAGAAGAGTGGAGGAAGACAGAAAAAGAGAAAGAAGGAGAGGAGAGGGAGGGAAGGGGAGAGGAATGAGGGAGGAAACAACACATTCCCAACACACAGTGTATGAACAACTGCTGCCAATTTTAGGAAATTCTCTCCTTGAGGAAACACAGTAAAAGTAGATCCAGGTTTCAGCACTTGAAGAGGGAGCAGAGCCCACAGACTTGATGGTGACAATGAGCCTGGGAGGAGTGCTGATGTCTTGACTGCCCACCATCCTCAGCACTGATCAAACACCAGTGTCTTAATTCATCAGACCACCATATGACCCCAGGAGGGGTCTAATCCCTACTTCATCAATGAAAGAACTGAAACACAAAGGTAATCTGCCTAAGACCACAGGACCCAGCAAGAAGCAAAGCCTGGATTCAAACCCAGGCATTCTTTCTCTCCTTGTTTCAGTATTCATGTAACCCAACCAATAATTTCCTCCGAAAAAATTAAGTCTAGGGTGACAGAAACACCTACAAGCCCTGTCTATCATAACATGACAAAAAGCAGAAGCATGAAAATAAGAAACCGGAAGCAAGCTGTCGAGTGGTTAGAAAGTAACTACAGACATTGTCAGTCCTGAAGAAGCTGATTGCTTTGACAGACAGAGGCCAGCTGGAAGCCAGAAACCAGACAATAACTCAGAGAATTCAATACAAAATATGTAAGCTGTGACAAGATAACAACAACCATGGTTGGAGAACTTAAGGCTGTCCTAGAATTGGCCTAAAACATAAACTGGGAATCTGGGGAGTGCTTGCAGGCCAGCACAAGGCCCCACATCAAGCCAGGCATGTGGTACAGGCCTGCAATCCTGGCACTTAAAAGTTGAAGCAGGAGGATCGGAAGATTTATCTGTAAAATGAGTTGCAGGCCAACTTGGGCTACATAAGATCCTGTTTCAAAAGCAAAACAAAACATCTGGGTGTGGGACGCAGAGTCAAGGGATCGCCACAAGTTCCAGGCCAGCCTAGTCTAGTGAGCTGCAGGCCAGTCCAAACTCTAAAGGGATAATATGTCTGAAAAATAAAAGCTATAACTGGGTGTGGTAACACACTCCTTTAGTTCCAGCACTTGGGAGGCAGAGGCAGGCGGATCTCTGTGAGTTCGAGGCCAGCCTGGTCTACAGAGTAAGTTCCAGGACAGCCAAGGCTACACAGAGAAACTCTGTCTCAAAAAACCTATCTAGACAGACAGAGACAGATAAAAGATGTAAGGCGTGGTAATGCAAACCTTTGGGAAGCAGAGGCAGGCAGGCATATCTCCCAGTTCGAGCTTAGCTAGGTCCACATAGTGAAATTCAGTCTCAAAAGGAGATAAAAACAAAACAAAAACAGAATAAACAAAAGGACCCAGATCCACTTTCACAACTCAAGCAACAAAGGCAAATGTGAAATTCATAGGTAAAAGATTAAAACCCAGCACAAGAGAAGCCAATGCTGCTTCAGCAT